GTGGAGCAAAGTTGCTGCTGAAATGGCTCTGAACAAAATGGAGTAACTTAGGGAAGTTTGCTGAGCCAGTTCAATCCTCAGCCCAAGTTTTCTCCAGAGAATGGGGGATCTCATGGAACCCTGGCATCTGGGGTGATGCCACAGCCTTCCTTCTCTCTGCTGCTACCTCCCAATTTGGAAACAAGACATTGGCCTAAGAGGGGAAAATAATAAAATAAAATAAAATAAAAAAACTCAGGGCTGGGAATACAGCTCAGGGTAGAGTGTTTGCCTAACACACACAAGACCCTAGATTAAATCCCCAGTACCACTAAATGAATGAATGAATAAGTAATAAAAGGCACATGTGTATGAGTTGGACCGGGCTCTGGCTGACAGAGACATCCTGAATGCAGGAACAGTGTGCAACACCTGGAATCATATGGGGCTGTATTTAGTCCTGATCCCTCCTGTGACCTGAGGCAATAAAGGAGCATTATATATGTATGTGTGTGTATATATATAATTTTTTTTTAAATTTTGAGACAGTTCTCCCTATATACAGACCAGGCTGGCCTCACAGAGATCCACCTGCCTCTGCCTCCCTTCCTGAGCCTTTGTCCTCACCTTTGAGCTTTCTGTAGAACCCCCTCTTTCTCACTTCCCTCTGCTCCTAAGAGCATACGTGCAATTTGGATATGAAGACACACTTGGGAGGCTGAGGCAGGAGGATCACAAGTTTCAGGACCAGCCTGGGCTACATAGTTGAGAACTGTCTCAAAAATACAAAATACAGGGTTGGAGAGATAGCTCAGCAGTAAGGAGCACTGGTTCAGTTCCCAGCAACCATATGGAACTAACAACAGAACTCTAGTTCCAGGGGATCCAAAGCCCTTTTCTGACCTCCATGGGCATTACATGACACAGGTGTACTTGCATACATGCAGGCAATACACTCATACACATAAAATAAAACAAAACCTGGTCCTTTAAAAAAATTAATGGAAGGCTGGGGAGAGAGCTGTTTGTAAAGTTCTTGCTACACAAATGTAAGGACCTGAGGTAATCCCCAGAACTCATGTAAAAAGCCAGTCATAGTAGCTCATGCTTGTAGGCCCAGTACAAGCAGGGGTGGAGGCAGGTGAATCTCTGGAACTCACTGGCCAGTCTAGCCTAATTGGTGAGTCCCAGGTCCCACTGAGAGACCCTAGCTCAAAAAACAGGATAAACTGGGCCTGGTGGAGCACACCTTTAATGCCAGCGCTTGGGAGGCAGAGACAGGCAGCTCTCTGTGAGAGGGAGACCAGCCTGGTGTGCATAATGAGTTCCAGGCCAGCTAGGGCTACAAGGAGAGCCTGTCTGTGCGGGATAGCTTTAGTGTTAACTTGACACACCTGGGTTGAGGGAGCCTCAATTGGGGAATTGCCTCTATTGGACTGGCCTGTGGCCATGTCTGAGGGGCATCTTCTTGATGAGTGATGTGGGAGGGCCCAGCTCACTGTGGGTGGTGCCACCCCCAGGCAGGTGGGCCTGTGTGTCGTAAGAAAGCAGGCTGAGCAGGGGCAGGGGAGCAAGTCAGTAAGTGGCATTCCTCCATGGCCTGTGCTCCAGCTCCTGCTTCCAGGTTCCTGCCCTGAGTTCCTACCTTGGGCTCCCTGATGAACTGTGACCTGGGAGATGTAGGCTAAATAAACCCTTTCCTCCCAAGTTGGTATTGGTCAGGGTATTTTGTCACAGCAATGAAGAGACAAACTAGAACACTGTCTCAACAAATAAAGCAAAAGGAAGCAAAAAAAAATACAGTGGCTAGCTTCTGAGGAACAACACCAAGGTACAGCGTGTGAACACACACACACACACACACACACACACACACACACACGAAACAAAAACACATGCTATAAAAGACTCCTGCTTGGTCTGTCAACTGACAGCATCAGGGATTGAAGTAAGAGAGGTGAGAGGCAGTAGATGGTGTGGTGGAGGACAGGATGTTGGTCGAACTCCTGTCCTGGCAGGCTGTACGTGGGGTCCGGCCCCTTCGTGAAGGTCCTTTGTACCTTCATCTACTTCATTTACCCTAAGTCTCCAGGTGTTTCTGTCTTGTCCCTCTCCTAATCATATTATTACATATCCCAGTAGCTATCCTCCATGTCCAGTCCACACGTGGCTAGTGAGGGGCCACTAGCGTCTTGGTGAGTCTGTGAGTTCCAGTGCCTTCCTTGAGAGGCTCCAGGCAAGCTGTGGGAACATGTGAAACTGATCAAGAACTAGAGCTCTGTTCCAGATATGACCGTGTGTTTAGAAGATACAGGCACTACCTCATCCTCTGGGATTGTCACCAACAGCCCTACAGGGCCCTTGGAATCTGTTGTGGGAAAAAAATCAAAGCCAGAGGTTTAGATGACATTTGAGGACCAGCTATGGTCTTAGGCTCAGACAAAGCTGGTTGACTTATGTGACCAGACACTGTAAATAGTTCCCACACTTGAGTCAGTTTCCAGACCGAGTCTGTCTGGTGTGGCAGGGTCTTTCACATTGAGTAGTAGCCAGAAAAGACCCCACCAGGCTCAGAGTCTGTGGGATCCTGGACCCTTAAAACCAGCGTCGGAGTCAGGCGCCCCCTGGTGGCAGCTGTAGCAACTCCTGGCTGAAGCGCAGGCTTTTTAAATCAGGATTAGCCTGTTTTGCAGTGGAAAAACCAAGCCCAGAGAAGGGTCCAGGCTTGCTGAGAGAGAATGAATTCCCCATTTGCTTCGTGGAATATCAGTTGCCATAAATGAGAGTTGAGAGAAACAGGCAGAAGCCTGTTGGTCCTTGATCATCCCTATCTAGAAATGGATGTGATGAACCTCACTTTACAGAGAAGGAAATTGAAGCTCAGAGGGGCTAAAGGGGGTCTGCTCCCAGGATCACACCGGGAGCCAAAGGCAGAGGCAAGAATTGGATCTCTAAGTGGGATTCCTGGCTATCACCTCCTCTCTCCCTTCCCATCACTTTCCCCCTTCCCTGGCCCCACCCTGATGCTTCTTGCTGACCTGACAGCAGAAACTTTCATGGGTGAGAGGTTCTTTGCTCCTTACTCAGAGGTCAGCATAGGCACAGACAGGGACTGCTCTCTGGCTTGAGCAGGAGAGAGGTCATGGTTGGGAAGGGAACACTGCACAAGAGACAGAGGCTTCTTTTGGGGGGAGTGGGGTTGGCACCCATGGGGTTAGGGACTGAAGGTAGGTGGTAAGGCTTTTGGTGGAAGTGGGTCTTGAATAAGTGTTCCCACCTCTTGATCTTCCCATTTCTTAGTCAAGCATGAGATGATAGCAATACTTTGACAGTCCCAGTTAGAAGAGTCCAAGTTTTGGCGTTAGGCTTTGTTTCAGACCCTAAACCTCCTACTCACTAGCTGTGTGGTCTAGAGTCAGATAATTGATATCTCTAGACAGAGTTCAGTTTCTGAGTCTGTAAAGTAGGGTCTGGTACAGGGTTCAGTGAGATAACAGCTGAGAGGGCTTTGGATAACTTGAGGCTTTACAAGTGACAGTGATTTTTAGCACTTCCCAGGGACAGGGTTCTGGAAGGGGAGAGGAAATGCTACCCCTTCCCCATGAACCCCTGGCCCTCTGAACTCAGGGCCCATCAGTTCATCCTGTGCATCCTGTGCACACACCAAACAAGTTTCAGGCTTGAGGGCCTGAAGCTCCTGTGTCTCCTTCTTGTTCTAGTTACACACTGGAAAGAAAGGCCTGACTTTCCATCCTTCACACACCTCCCACCCCAACTCCCAGTTCCTGAAGCTATAGTCCCAATGTTGTGCCCTGAGGAAATACCACTGGTGACTTGGATTGGCCCTGGGGAGGCTGTTCCCAGGCCAGCAACCAGAACCTTTCAGTTGTCCTAAAACTTTTCTGCTCTAGTGCCTGAAGGTGGACAGGGCACCCAGGAGACCTTTGTCATGGTCCAGTTTCATCCATTCATTCTGCTGCTACTCTGACACCTAGAACACGGCTCTGATGCCTTCCTGTTCTTGGTCACAGTGCCTTCCTTGCAGGTACCAGGAAGACAGCAAGAGAGGAGTGAAGGCTGGAGTGAGAGAGGCTGACAGGAGGCGGGGACTCTGGGGGGCTGAGGACTATAAAGGGACACAGCCGTGTGCAGGGAGACTCATCCAGCAGGAGGTAGGTGCCTGTGTGGTCCAGCACCCACTCATTCAGGGCTCAGGGTAAGTGGGTTCAGCCTGCCCTGGGATCTGGGGGCTCCTTGGGGCTGGGGCCAGTGTTGGAGGGTGAGACTTGGTGCTTCGAAAGGACGGGGGGAGGGGAGCTGAGGTCCTGCTTGGGTCTTCGTATCTGGATAAACCTGTCAGAAGAGAGATGGGCTCACATCATCACAGACTTCTGTGTCTAGCCATTGTCTTAGAAGTTTATTCTGTGTTGCTCATTCTGTGCTAAGTGAGAATGTTCTACTTCCCACCAGCTCTATGTCTTGAACTTCCCCATTCCTACTTCTCTGGAGCCATCAGTCTCTAATTGTCATAAGTCCTGTGTGTCCGGTCTTCGTACCCCCACCCCCACTTCTCTGCTGTGCTTTTCTACTTTGCCAAGGCCAGGACTGCACTCTGGCTGCTGGGCTGCTCACTGAGGAGTGTATATATGAGGGGGCATCCTTCCTCTCCAGGGCAGTGTTAAGTCGGGTGGTAGCTGTTGGTGGCTCCTGGCTCTGCCCTTGCCCATAGGCTTGGCTTTAAAAAATGGATGATGGACAATGGCTGGGCAGGAGGTCCAGTTTCCTGGGCACAGAAGGGTCTGCAGGTGGGCTCTGTTCTGCCTTCCCTCTGTTCCTTGCTCCTCAGATGGCTGTTGCACACCACTGCCTCTCCTTGTTGCTTCTGTCCACCTGGGTGGCTCTGCTGCTGCAGCCCTTACAGGGTGCCTGGGGAGCCCCACTGGAGCCAATGTACCCAGGGGACAATGCTACGCCAGAGCAGATGGCCCAGTATGCAACTGAGCTCCGCAGATACATCAACACGCTGACCAGACCTAGGTGTGTGTGTGTGTGTGTGTGTGTGTGAGAGAGAGAGAGAGAGAGAGAGAGAGAGAGAGAGAGCGAGAGAGAGAGAAAGAGAGAGACAAAGAGAGAGAGAGAGAGAGAGAGAGAGAGAGAGAGAGAGAAAGAGAGACCCATGGAACCCTGGGTTCACTCTGTATTCCTAGCCATGATCCTGACCTTATCCCCAGCTCCAACTCCAGCCCTATCTCTGGCCCCAGCCCTAGTACCATCCACACCTGCTCTTGAGAAAACAGTGTTTCTATTGAGTGGCTGGGCCCATGTGCTATGGGCAGGGTGGTGTCTAAGGGGAAATGTGAGGCAGGTGAGCTGGCACCTGCGCACAGTGCTTATCCTAGGTGCCTCTTCCTTGCCAGGTATGGGAAGAGAGATAAAGAGGACACATTGGACTTCCTAGAGTGGAACTCCCCTCATGCAGCAGCCCTCTGGTTGGTTTGTTTCCCTGCTCAACTCCCTGGGGCTGAAGGGCAGGTCTGGAAGCGGGAGGGGAGTATCTGGAAGATCGGGAAAGGGAAGAGGGACTCAGAACACACAGGCGGCCCTTCCTTACTGCCAGGTTTTGCTCTCTACTCACAGGGATTCCAACCCGACGGACTTGTAGTGCCCCTCCTGTTCCTGCGACTCTGGGACAGCACCGGCGCAGCTCGTCCCTCTCTGACCTTGGTTCCCGTCAAAGCATGCTCCCTGCTTCCCCACAAGCTAAATAAAGCAAATTAAAATCACAGTGCTTGTGTGTGTCTGTGAACCCCCAAGTGTATAGGAAAGGGCAGTGCAGGGAGGCCAAGGAGAAAAGGGGAGCTGTAATGATCCCCAGTGTCTGTAGGGGAATCAGAGCCCCTACATACATTTTCTTCACTTCACAGAGGGGCAAGAGGATCTGGCCGATGACCAGGATTCTCCTAGTTAGCAAGTCTGTGATGTGGCAATCTTGAACTTACCCTTCCCATCCAGCACTTCTAAACCATTCTAGTCATTAGCCAGAGGTCAGACCCTCTCCTAAACGTACTCTTGGGATTGCTTCCTATAGCCTGGGCAGTGGGTGAAGAATCATTATTTACATTAAAGCCTGAGGGTGGGGGCAACAACTCACCTGGTGGTCAGCCAGTCACCTGGTGCATAGGGTGGTCTTAGAACGGTTCTCTCGAAATCTGGAGAGAATGGGCAGTTCTGAGAGAAAGTGAACCCCTTGGGACTAAGAATGAAATTTAGCTGCTTCTGGAGGGCAAGCTGGAGGGGATGTGGCTCCTCAGAGAGGGGGACATGGCTCCTCAGAGAGAGGGACACAGGGGACACAGAGTTCTGGACACCTCCATGAGTACAATCTGTCAAGTCCACATTTTGGTTCTTGGGGCAGGAGGTGAATTCAACCACTCCCTGAGGAGTCCCGGTGGGCCCCAGTGGCCTGTTTACCTTTGCCCTTCTCAGCCATCCTGAATGGGTGGTGATTGTGTATGTGTGTGTAAAGTGAGTGAGAGAGCTGGTTTCCCTTTTTCTGGGCCTAGGAGCTTCTGTGAATGGTCATGGGGAAGGGGACAAGAGAGACACAGAACCTTTGTGGTTCCCAGAATGGTTTCTCCCGTTTCCCCCAGAGGCTTTGTCTAAAAGGGTGGGGGTGGTAAGCTTCATGGATGAGGGTCCACTTTTTCAGGCTCAGTACTTGGCATTAATCCATGACAATGATATCATAATTGTGTTTCTGTCTGGTGAGTGTGAATGACTTAGAGGGGGAACCCATCTTAAAAGACCAAAGGCTTTTCTAGGATGCAGCTTGTAGGCAAGTGCTTGGCTCAAGTTGAATGTCTGGATAGTGTGCATGTATGGACGTGGGGGTTCAGCAGGAGAACAGTATTTGAGTGTGGATAATGAAGCCTGAAGCTCCATTACCTTCTCTGGAAGCTTAGATGATGGATTCTAATGGGTAGAGGTTTAGACACTTCTAGAGGTAGGAATTAGGAAACTTCTCCACACGTACCTGGGTGCGACAGCTGGAGGATGGGAGAAGAGGATGGTCAAGTCTCAGGAACAGGCTCTGTGAAGCTCCTTCCCTTTGCCTGTTCTGTGCACTAAAGGCAGGAAGGTCCTGGAAACCCCTGTACATTGCTCCCCAGTTTGTTCCTGGGGAAACTGACAGCCCAGGCAGGCATTCCAACCTATCCTATTCTGTGTAGAAACTTGGCAGGGGGTGGGTCTGGTTCAAGCCCCTGTTTTGAAGTTGTTGAGATCAACTCTCTGTGGATGAGGCAGTGGAAGATAAGTTGGTGGGATGCAACAAGAGGTGGGAAAAACCTGGCTGAGATCTGGTGATCACACAACAGGTATCTGTTTCTTCATGGAAGGACAGGTCCTCCCTGCCAGTGCCCACAGAAGCCACAGATGCAACAGAGATTCTTTCCTTTAAAATTTTTATTTATTTATTCATTTATTGTTACATGTGTATGATCTGTGTGAGTGTGATTGTGCACATGCCATGGTACCCCTGTGGAGATCAGAGGACTTGTGGGAGTTGGTTCTCTCCCTCCACCATGTGAGATCAGGGGATAGAAGTCAGGTGGTCAGGCTTAGTGGCAAGCACCTTTGCCTCCTGAGTCATCTAGTTGGCTCAAGATTGTTCCTCCTTACTGTCCTTACTGAATGGGTAGACTGGAGTAGAGGCCCATCTCACCATCTAAAGGGATCTGTGGGCAGCAAAATCTGAGCCAGGCCTCTGGAGGTCAAGGTTCTTCACTTTCCCAGGAGTTCCCTCTCTCCCCCCGACCCACTTTCCCAAAGATAAGGGTCCAGGCCTCTGCTGGATGGAGGCAGTGCACCAGTCTTGCCTACCTGGAGCCAGGAGGGGGGCTTATGGTTGGGGCCTCAGGGGTTCCAGGGCTTGGGGTTTTCTGATGGTCCGTGGTGAGTGGTTCCTGGTGTTCAGGTGGGGTTGATGTGTGGTGTTTGATGGGGGAGATTTCGTGGTGTTGGCGGGTTCCTTGTGTGTTTTGGACTTCTTCGAACTAGGGGACAGGTCATTGCAGAGATCAAGGAGTCGCGACGTGTGCCGGGATTTCAGGTGTCCTCCCCACCCCTCCCTCAGCTTCCTCTGCCTTCCCACCTGCTGTGGAAGAGCTTCTCCACGTACTTGTTGATGTGGCCAAAGTTCGAAAACCAACTGGCCACTCTGGGCTCGGGGCACTGCTGCGGTTGGAGTTCTTCGCCCAGGGCGCTATTGGGTGGCATCAGGAGCGAGGCTAGGCACATCAGAGCCAGTGAGCAGGCACAGGGCAGAGCCATCGGACGGAACAGAGAAAGGTTCACAGTCATGTGACGCCCACCCTGCCCAGGGAGTAGTGCCTGAGCAGTGCAGACCCTGGGTCTTGCAAACCAATGCTGGATGGTTGGGAAAGATGGAGTGCAGGGACCCCCAAACCAAGAGAGGAAAGAGTCTCTTGTACACACAGGTGCCCCAAGCGCCTTAAGGGACATCCTGGAGCACAGGGAGAATGGGACTGCCCTGGATCTGCACTATGATGTACCCAAAGCACTGCAGTGGAAATGGATGGGAGGCACGCTCTGAGAGGGAGTGAGGTCTAGAGTCACTGAGTTCCCCTTCACCTCACCTCACTGACTTCTGCTGCAAAGCCCTAGTGCACTCCATGCCTCTTCTGCCTCCTCATTTGGTCCTCAAAAACACCAGACATGGGGTTGGAGAGATGGCTCAGTGATGAAGAGCACTTGCTGCTCTTCCAGAGGACCCAAGTTCAGTTTCCACCACCCATGACGTGAAGCTGGCAACAGCCTGTAACTCCAGCTCCAGGAGCTCCCATGCCCTCCTCTGGCCTCCACTGGCATTGCATTCATATGCACATATCCACACACATACACATGATTGAAAAATAAATCTTAAAACTCAGACATACTGTTGTCTGCCTGGAAGCCTTGTGGGACGCCTGTATGGTCAACTGAACTTCTGGCATCAGCTCAACATCTACCTTCTAATTGGCTCCAACCCTGACATCCTTCTTTAAAATTGCCATCCACCCCATCATCTTGCTCTACCTCTCCCATCCTGTCCACTTTCTTGCTATACTGTGTTCTAATTTGATATACTTACTGTCCAAGTCCCTTCCCAAGGCACACCTCTCTCTCAAAGTCAGCACCACTTCAGGCAAACTCTTTGGGTACTTGGTTTCTTGATGCACTGCTCCCACTCAGATTGGTGTCTAGTTTTAGTAGAAGATTAAATGAATAACACAGTTGCAAACTGGAGTGTCAGCCCGGCCATCCTCCCACCCCTAGCCAAGCATACTGTGTCTGAAACACATCACCACCACCACCACCTCATAGGTTGTGATGCCAAAAATAGGATACCCCCTGAACCCTTGAGCCCCTCAACTCTCTCTTAATGATAACGCCTCTCATCTGTACCACCCCAAGCAAGGATAGGAAGGCCTCTATGACAGTTGTCCTAACCATCAGAATGGCTTCATTCTTTCATTGTCTTAGTGGGTCTGGGGAGGGGCCCTTGGTGGAAGCCCCCATTCCCAAGCTCCTGCAGAGCACAGGTGACAGGGCCCCAGTCTTAGCCATCAAACATTACCATAGTGCTGGGCAGATGCAGAGTGACACAGCAAAGGTTCTCTGGACAAGACCTTGGAGGCCATTTATATTCCTTTGGATCCATGACCTTGTCCCTCTAGGGCTCCACCCCAGCATAGCCTCCTCCTCCTCCTGTGTCATGACCCAGGAGTTGAGAACAGAAAGAATGTGGGGGTGGAGGCACACCAGCTGCTGGCTGTCCTGACTGAGGTACCATGTCTACTGGGGGCCCAAAGAGGTGGGTGGTAGAAGTGTGAGGCACTTTGTGGTAGGATAACTTTTTGCTCCAAGATCAGAGATCCTAGGGAGGACCTGTCGCTGGGGTTGGGAGGGGGCAGTGTTTTTTCCAGGGGCTATTTCTGGGTCAACAGGGGCCTATGTTGAGAGACACCCTTCTCATCCAGCTGATCCAAAGGGCCTCTTCCTGCAGGGCTTCTGTAGAGTGTCAGTACCCCTACTTTAGCCTCTGGGACTGGTGGAATTGTGGGTTCTGCCGTGAGTATTGCAGTCGCTTGCTTAGCCTGTCTAACCATGGTAGATCCCCTGGGGGTGACCTCCTGAGCCCTATGGAGGGAGGGGTCTTGGCTCCTTTAGTGATTCACTCATACCTTGGGATTCTTCAGGCCGCAGAACCTCAGTATGACCTGTCATGTTCCTCTGTCTGCTCTGCTGTGCTGCTTTTCCAGGTCAAGTTATTAAATGTGGCATGATTCTTTGTCCATCCCCAACCCCTGAAGGGTACAGTAGGAATCCTGACTTCACTACTCTCTGTGACCTTGATCAAGGGTATTTACCTCCTAGTGAGTCCCCATATCATTGTGTGTAGAATGGGGTTTATTACTCTCTGGCATGGGAGCGATGCTGAGATTTCTCTGACCACGCAGCTCAGCCCCTGGACAGCTCTTGGCACAGAGTGGGCAATGGACATGATGAGCCCTTCCATATGGGCACACCTCTCTCCGTGTCCCCACTTACTCCATCTTCATCCTCTCCTTAAAATCTGTTCTCATCAGAAGCATACCTTTA